CCTGCTCCTTCTCTGGATCTCCTCTCCCTGCTGTGTCTCTTCCCTCAGTGCTTGTATTCTTTCCCACATCACTCCTCTTCTGGCTTCTGCCCAGCAACTGCATGGCCTGCCATTTGCTAATGTGTTTGAAGGGATGGGACTTTGTGGATTTCCCCATAAAACGTGTCTGCATGTTGGGCCAGGGAGGAGGATGAAAACCTAAAGGAGGTGGGCTAAATATATTAATGGAATGGACTTAGTTTCACCTGTGGCAATGAGATGTGAAAGTAACTTGCAAAGTTTGCTATGACTGTCATATGTCTGTGTTCCAACACAAGGGTAGTCATAGGACCAACCACAATGTCCCAACCAAAATGCCAGGCCCAGTGAGCCTGTAGCTTTCCTATTGAGAAGAAATAACAGCAGCATGGCATAATGGAAAGGGCACTGAATTTGGAATCAGGGAACCTAGGTTTGATCCTGACTCTGTTACTTACCACTTGTGTGACCCTGCACAGGTGACCCTTCATTTCTCTAGACCTCAGTTGACTCATCATTAAAAAGGGGGGTCAAATTCTACAACCTCTAGCATCCCTTTCAGCTTGAAATCTGTGATCCTATGAGGGTAACAATGATTTAAAATATACCTGTTTCATTTACAGCTGTCCCATTGGCAGAGAGCTTTCCTCTACCTGCCAGCCATTTGGGGCTCAGTTGTAAGCCCATTCACATTGGGGTTTCAGGGAAGTGGAGTAAAAAGAGCACAGGACTTGAGTCTGATTTTGTTCTAACTGCTTGGTACCTGAAACATCCTTCTTTGGGTCTCACTTTCCTCATTTCTCCAGGGAAAAGATTGTAGCAGATAATCCAGGGCCCTTTAAAATCTGGATCCTTTAAGAATCATCCAATATTGTCCTAATTTTCCAGCTGAGAAAACAGAGACTCAGAGAAATTAAATGACTTACCAATGTTCCTTAGCTAGTAAGTAAAAGATGGAAACCCAAAATAAGGAAACCCAAAAAGTCCATGTACCTAGAAATAAGTTCAACTTGTCAGTTATATTTCCTTTGGCCTAATTCTTTTGCCTTGGCAAGTCACTTGGTCTATCAAGACCTCAGTTTCCTCATCTGGATGACCTGAGTTCCTTTGCAGCTCTAAATTTATAATGCTTATTGCAGCATCTTCACAGCGAGCCTTGAATTAAAAGTCCAAAGATGCATGTCTTTGCCTTCAAAGCGTTGGAGAGGCACCTCACTCTCTTATACTATGTCATCGCTTCCAACCCAGCTCTCCAATATTAAACATTCTTGCAATGCTTACTCGTCCCTGAAGTTACTCCATTTCTGCAGAAGGCCCTCTTGCGCTTGACATTCAATGCAGCCCCTCTCTTCTCCAGAGAAGGCTGCCATTCTGGAGAGAGTGGATCCCACTGGTTCCCCAGCTCTATTTTATGAGGTCACCAGCTATGTTCAGTTTTGATATGTTCCACCAGTTCTTCCATTCTGGTGTATGGTGGGAGCTCACAGCCACCCAGTGATACAGTTTTCATCCTGACTTGCATGAGCCAATCCATTTAGCCAGTAAATTGTGATCAGTATCCTGAAATACATTCAATGACATCTTGGTGCCACTCTCTGAGCATCTGCTACTTAGACCATTATTTAAAATGAACAAAACACCTTAAGTGTATTTAGTTACTATAGTTTATGATTAAAGGATTTAAGCTATGGTATGTTTTCACAACATTTTTATACTAGGAAAAGAGGCCAACAACCCAAGAGCCATAATCACACTAGAAATATTTAACCTCTTCAAATCTGCTTTTTTCTAAATTCAGCTCAGGTCCACTTTCTGGAGTATTTCTCAGCCTCTCAGTTCTTTCCCTTTGAGATGAATTTCCATCTATTTCATATACATTTTCTATGTACTTAGCAATTCACAGGTCATCCCCCCATGAGAACATGAGCTCTCTGAGGACAGGGATCATATGCCTTTCTTTGTAACCCCAGTACTTAGCTCAGTGCTGACATACAATATAAAGAAAGTGTTTTAAAAAATGGTTGTCGATTGGTGGATTGCCAAGGGTTTCTATAGCTGAGGAATTAAAGGTTATGTGCATGCCTTGGTAGGAGAGTTGGAAAGGAAGGAAGGAATCATGGTGCCATTCTTTGTGCATTAGTCTCTGAGAGGGCCTCTTCCCAGGTAGTTTTTCATAACCTCAACCTTGCCTTGAAAAATGTGATGAATAGGGGGCATCTAGGTGGTACAGTGAATAGAGCTCTGGCCTTGGAGTCAGAAGGACCTGAGTTCAAATCCAGCCTCAGACACTTAACACTTACTAGCTGTGTGACCTTGGGCAAATCATTTAACCCCGATCACCTCACCAAAAAGAAAAAAAACATGTGATGAATGAACAATAGGTGACAGGGACTGTTCTTCCACTAAACAATAGACATCATTCTGATGCAGAAACCCTTCAGGAAGAACTCTGTGGTTTAAATTGGTGACAGATCTGTGCATTGAGGCACTATCTTCCTCAAGAAGGCCATTCAGTTTGAGACAGTGGCCCACTTCCACTCTTTCGCTGACACTTCACCTTTAATGATTATCAAGTGGGCTTCTAGCTAACATACACCCCCAACCCTCACTTGAGTTGTTGTGAGTTGTTTTGTTTTGTTTTATAACTGTAAAGCATCAAGAAAGTTCAAATTGGAAGGGACCTCTGAGGTTCTTGAGGCCAACCCTGGATGGTTCCTTTCCAAATCAATTCTTCCTCTCCTCTCTTCTATTAGGTCCACTTAGCTCAAATCATTTTGACTCAACAATAATCAATTCAATGAGCTTTTATTGAGGGCCTACTGTGTGTCAGGTGCTATCCTTCATATTTGCTTATGCCAATTGAGTTCTCCCTCTCCCTATTCACAGAATCCTTGAATCCGAGTTAAAGGGACCTCAAAGGCAGTCAGCTCAACCACATCACAAAAAAGAAATGACCTCTAAAGCATGCCCAGTGAGTGGCTATCTGATTTTGACTGAAGGAGGGATTACGATAAGTGTCCAGTGGTTGGGAAAATCACATTTTTAAAAAAATGACAAAATGTTGGTGCTTTAAGCATTTAAGCCGTCAATAAATACCTGCTGTATGCCAAGCACTGTACTAGAAATAACCTTTATACCCCAACCAGCCAGAGAGGCTTCTCTTGTTGCAAAGAAAAGAAATTAAGCAAATCCTGCTAGGATAGTTAATGTGTTTGACAGTACAGGCAAGAGTCAGTACTCATAAGTCTTTCAGATTTTTGTTACACAAAACTTCTTCTGCCTTAATATATTCTCATTCTCTGTCTCTCTGTTTCTCTCTGTCTCTCCCCCTCCCTCTCTCCCTTCCTCCCTCCCTCTCTCTTCCTTCTCCTTTGTAGTCTTAGACTTATCGTCCCATTGCTGCAAACACCAAGAGGTTAAGAGATTTATTTATCGTGACTCATCTAGTACATATCAGGGAAGCATTTGAACCCAGATCTTCCTAATTCAAAGTGAACATCCACCCACCCATCCGTCCATCTTTTTGTTGTACCACACTGCTTGATCTTCTTCATTTTATACTTCCAGCTCATAGAGATCTTGCTAGTTTACTAATTGTGTGCTCTACAGCAAATTACACTCCCATTCTGGGCCCCAGTTTCCTCATTTGTAAAAAGAGAGACTAGGGCTAGAAAAGGGATTTTCAGCTTTTTTATGTCCAGAACCCCTTTGGCAGTCTGGGAAAGCCTAGGGACCCTTCTCAGAATCAACTTCTTAAATACATGAAATAAAATTAATAGGATGATAAAGCAAAGCAATTAGAATGAAACACAGTAATTAAAATTTATTTCTTAAAAGTTCACTGATGGTAGGTTAAAAATTTTTAGACCAGATGAGCTCTAGGTTCCTTTTCCAGCTCAAAGGATCATAGTTACTTCAAGTTGACAAGCATGCATTGAGTAAGGGTTTAACAAGCCAGACAGGTCAACTTTGATAAAGTGACACAGATATGCAATTGTGGCCGTTTCAATAACTGCCTGGGAAAGAGCCCCATTTCCCAGGATCCTTTTATAGACAAAATGGAAAGAGCTCTGCAAGGACAAATCTCTTCTGTTACATTCATGTCTAAAATCAGAAATCACCATTCCCAAATTTAGAATATGCATCCAGCTCTGCCCATAATTTTGCTGTTGCTGTCTGCCGTAACCT